ACGTGGATGTGTCTCGAATGAATCGCGTTGAGCGAGTTTTTTAGCGCTAGCTGAGGCAAAATTTTTGTGTTAAAATGTATCGCTAGGCAGATTTAACGTTATGCGATGCGTTTGTTAGGCGAGGGTCCACTGTATATGGAATAGGTAGTAAGTTACTAAATGCTGTAAAGAGTTTTTATTGGGATAGTGAGGCTCAGGTTAGGGTGTGTAGAAGAGAGGGAGATTACTTCTCAGTAAAAGTAGGTCTTAGACAGGGATGTGTAATGTCACCATGGTTGTTTAATATATTTATAGATGGAGTTGTAAAGAAATAAATGCTAGGGTTTTGGGTGGAGGGGTGGGATTAAATTATGGGGAATCAAATACAAAATGGGAATTGACACAGTTGCTTTTTGCTGATGATACTGTGCTTATGGGAGATTCTAAAGAAAAGTTGCAAAGGTTAGTGGACGAGTTTGGGAGTGTGTAAAGGTAGAAAGTTGAAAGTGAACATAGAAAAGAGTAAGGTGATGAGGGTATCAAATGATTTAAAGAAAAATTGGATATCAAATTGGGGAGGAGTATGAAAGAAGCGAATGTTTTCAGATATTTGGGAGTTGACGTGTCAGCGGATGGATTTATGAAGGATGAGGTTAATCATATAATTGATGAAAGAAAAAAGGTGAATAGTGCATTGAGGTATACGTGGAGGCAAAAAATGTTATCTATGGAGGCAAAAAAGGGAATGTATGAAAGTATAGTAGTACCAACACTCTTACATGGGTGTGAAGCTTGGGTTGTAAATGCTGCAGCGAGGAGGCGTTTGGAGGTGGTGGAGATGTCCTGTCTAAGGGCAATGTGTGGTGTAAATAGTATGCAGAGAATTCGGAGTGTGGAAATCAGGAGAAGGTGTGAAGTTCATAAAAGTATTAGTCAGAGGGCTGTAGACAGGTTGTTGAGGTGGTATGGTCATTTAGAGAGAATGGATCAAAGTAGAATGACATGGAGAGCGTATAAACCTGTAGGGGAAGGAAGGCGGGGTAGGGGTCGTCCTCGAAAAAGTTGGAGGGAGGGGGTAAAGGAGGTTTTGTGGGCGAGGGGCTTGGACCTCCAGCGTGCGTCAGCATGTTAGATAGGAGTGAATGGTATTTGGGACCTGACGAGCTGTTGGAGTGTGAGCAGGATAATATTTATTGAAGGGATTCAGAAAAACCAGTTAGTTTTATATAGCTGGACTTGAGTACTGGAAATGGGAAGTACAATGCCTGCACTTGAACCCTTTGAGGGTCGACAGGCCCTCTCCGAGACTCGTTCTCAGGGTTGGCCAAATTTAAAAAAAAAATATTTTTTTCTTATGAAAAGATAGAGAATATTTTCCCCATCATAATGACACCAGAAGTATGAAATTTGATGGAAAACTTACAGAATTATGCTCTCGCGAAGTTAGCGGTCTCGGCGATGTTTATGCATCGGCAATTTTGCCCACTTTGAGCCCCATTTTCGGCCAATTCCACTGTACTAGTAGACAAAAAACATGTATATTTCGCTAGAACTCCATTTTTTTCTATCAAATGAGTGCAAGAAACCACCCATTTACCGATTTCAACTATCCAGTACAGTGGTCAGAATTTAGCAATTTTGCCAATTTCACACAAATTTCAAAAGATGCCAATTTCCAAATAGGGTCCAGAATAAACAAGAAAGACATTCCTGGCACTAAAATGACATTTCCTCTGTTCATTAGTAATGTCTCAAGGCCCCTCTTACAATCTTTTGCTTTCCACTTTGAATTTTTATTCTCACAAAAAATAGAAGATTTACTGTTATGCAGACTACTGCATTAGTGTAAAAAATTGTATAAATAATATTGGTGCACGTGCGAAAGAATATTAGACTCGCCAGTTGACGTGTGTTGGACGCTTGGCATGATTTGTTTACTTTTGAACTTTGGTAAAAATCGAACATTTCTGCTACTTTGAGCTCAATTTCAAGGTACTTTTCATTGTAAAACCAATCAAAATCATCTCAATTTCTGTAAGATGTCTTCCATTCTATAAAATGAGACCAAGAAAACTAGAATAAACAATAAATACCATACGAAAATACAGTGCAAAGTCGCTGTTTTATTCCAAAAAAACGGTCAAAGTTTTTTTTCTCATTATGCAGTGTGTGCTGCAGGATTTTTTTTATACTGTGCACACTGACCACATAGACCCATTCTTTCATATGTAGGCCTACCAGCTTTCTCCCACTAGATTTGAGGGCGCTAGAATTTAGGCGTACTAGTATGTCAAAAACCCTGGGTCGTAAGCCGTACTAGTACGGCTGAAACCCACAAAGGGTTAAAGGAGGGGTTTGGGATATTGGCGGTTTGGAGGGATATGTTGTGTATCTTTATATGTATATGCTTCTAAACTGTTGTGTTCTAGGTAACTCTGCAAAAACAGTGATTATGTATGAGTGAGGTGAAAGTGTTGAATGATGATGAAACTATTTTCTTTTTGGGGATTTTCTTCCTTTTTGGGTCACCCTGCCTTGGTGGGAGACAGCCGACTTGTTAAAAAAAATGCTTACCTTGCTTAAGAGTACAAACCAATGGACGTAGATCTTCCTGTAAAATGTGATTTGGGACAACAGTAGGGCATTCTAATGTCAAAACCTTGTTGGGAAGATTTTAATATTCATAGCTAAATGAATCTCCATGGGTAAGTGGAACAGAATTCTTTCTCCGTAAGCCATGCATGTCATAAGATGCAACTAAAATGCCGGGAGGAAGGTGCTAGTATCCCCTTCTCCTGTATACATTACTAAAGTTATATAATTTTTCTTTCTAGGTCACCCTACCTTGGTGGGATACGGCCAGGTCGTTGAAAAAAAAAAAAGCTAAATGAATGTGACAGTGACCTTGCATCAGTGAAGTGTCGAAATCAATTCCAAGTGCTCCTTACCCAGAGTTACATCCCTTTTTTTTTCTTTCTACTGTTCTAACATTAATATTACCTCTACTCCTCTAACTCTTTGTTCATTATGATACACTTGAAATATATGCCATGGATTCACTAGATTTCTATGGTTTTTCTTCAGCTATATGTTCTTATGAAAGCAAGCACTTTGGTAGATTAGACAAGTACAAGAGCAATAATGGGTAGATGCATGCAGGACCTGCCAGTCATGGAACAGTAAGTCTACTACAGTGATCCTCTATTCTTATATTCTCTTCTTCTTTCAACAAACCAGCCATATCCCACCAAGGCAGGGTGGCCTATAGAGAAAACAAGTTTCTCTTCATAACTTTAGTAATATATACAGGAGGAGAGGTTACTAGCCCCTTGCTCCCGGCATTTTAGTTGCCTCTTACGACATGCATGGCTTACGGAGGTAGAATTCTTTTTCACTTTCCCATGGAGATAAGAGGAAATAAACAACAAGAACTAGCAAGAAAACAAGAAGAAAACCCAGAGGGGTGGGTATACATATGCTTGTACATGTATGTGTAGTGTGACCTAAGTGTAAGTAGAAGTAGTAAGACGTACCTGAAACCTTGCATGTTTCTTTTCTTTCTTTCAACACACCAGCCGTATTCCACCGAGGCGGGGTGGCCCAAAAGGAAAAACGAAAGTTTCTCCTTCTACATTTAGTAATATATACAGGAGAAGGGGTTACTAGCCCCTTGCTCCCAACATTTTAGTCGCCTCTTACAACACACATGGCTTATGGAGGAAGAATTCTGTTCCACTTCCCCATGGAGGTAAGAGGAAATAAACAAGAACAAGAACTAGAAAGAAAATAGAAAACCCAGAGGGGTGTGTATATATATGCTTGTACATGTATGTGTAGTGTGACCTAAGTCTAAGTAGAAGTAGCAAAACGTACCTGAAATCTTGCATGTTTATGAGACAGAAAAAAAACACCAGCAATCCTACCATCATGTAAAACAATTACAGGTTTCCATTTTACACACTTGGCAGGACTGTAGTACCTCCCTGGGTGGTTGCTGTCTACCAACCTACTACCTAGGTTTCATGTTCTCATCACTTTCAAATATTAACATTTTTAACTTTCCATTAAGACAAGTGATATGCTGAATACCTGTGACTGAAAATCAAAACTTAATTATAGAATCATTTTTAAATCTTCATAAATTTTTTATACTGATGAAATAAGAGTCATTTTTATTTCTTTTAGCCATAGGAAAGTGGAAAAAATCTTTCCTCCATAACCCATGTGTGTCGTAACAGGCAACTAAAATGCCAGGAGCAAGGGGCTAGTAACCACCTCCTCCTGTATACATTACTAAATGTAGAATAAAGCGTTTCTTCTGTTGGGTCACCTTGCCTATGAACTGAAGACCAGTAAATTTACTAACAGTAGTAGACTGTGATATTTTTTAAAATTAAACTGCCTAGGCTGCTAGCAACAATAACAGCAAAGGAAAGAAATTCCAGTTTGTTATCTATCTTGATTATATTACTAAGCCAAGGATCAACAAGTTTCATGGGTGTGTCTTCCAGGATTGATAAATCATGTATCTTTTTAAGGCTGATACAGATATATACAAGGATGAGACATGTAAGTACGAAAAGCAAGAAAATTATCAAAACCATAAGCAAAATCAACAACAAAATTATTTTTAAAATATACTCAATGAATTTAATTGCCACACAAACCAAGAGCCGCAAGTATCCAGTAACTACACAAGAGAACTATCATTATGTCCATGGGAAAAGTTTTATACTAGAAAAAGTCATACAGCACTTGGGAAATAGGAAGTAATCAGGTCTGGGTAAGGTAGCTAATATTCCTTGGATCAAGAGCCCTTCAATAGCATCAAAACACCCTTCAAGAAGGTCTACATAAGAGGAAAGGCCTTAAAATTATATTTTCTGGATAAAAGAGACTTTTACTGTACAATGCTTTCCATTTGCATGCATGGATTAGAAAAAGCACTTCTCGCAGCTTTTTGTTATTCCTAAAATCTTACTTTCATTCACACATAAAGGCTTACAGGGAACTAACTCTTCCTTGTGACTTAACTGTTAATTTCAAAGGGGAAAACTGCAACTTCCTCTATTTGTCTGACCTGAGGCTGAACTGAGTGATCCTACACATTCCAACTGGTCTGAGGTGAGTGATGGGGGTCGGGGGAGAATATTTGGTGGCTTCTCTGGCTTGGCAGGTTTTCCTGGTTTCTCACTGCTGTCGCTGACATCTCCTACTGTTTTGATAACCACAGTTGTTAGAAGGAAGTTATGAGACTTGAAGAGCACTCTGACCTAAGATCATTCAGTGTTCATGGCAATAAAAAGTAAATACAAACCTGCATGAGAACACCCGGGGTAAAACTATTTAACAGAACTCACAAAATCCTAAAAATACAATTGCAAACAAATCATGGAACGGGTGAAGTTTGAACCATCGCAAGCGAGTTCAAAAACTCTGGGCCAGTGTGTCAGCCACTCTGCCAGCTGGCTCTAAGAAGATTCATCCTACTAGGTATATTTCTACACCATGAGTTCAAATCCCACCTGTTCCATGGTTTCTATGTAACAGAAATAAAAGCACTAGGAAGAGCAAAACAACACTGACAGTTGTTAGAAATGAGTGTTGAACAAAGTAATGGATACAGTGTGAGAGAATAAAATGAAGGAACTCTAAGTGGATGATATAAATGCCAAGGTTAGAAGGAATCAAAATATTATATGCAGATATTCAGTGACATTTGAAATGTGATGCCTGCATTACTTCTAGCAAGACAGCCATTTCTTTCTTTGAGTCACTCTACCTTGGTGAGAAATGGCCAATGTAGTACAAAAAATAAAGCTTCAGTAATGCTCACTTGACCAATCCCAACTATGAAGTAGAATTGCCTAAATATTCTACTTATGATTTCCTGATGAACGTTATTTTAAAAAATAGCCAGGGATACATGACTGGGATACTTCATTATTGTTACAGATATATTTTTAGTTAAGGGGCTAATAATCCCTCCTCATACTTTATCATTTTCTTCTTTTCCAGGTCACACTACCTTGGTAAGAGATGCCTGGTATGTTAAAATGAAAACATACATTTTTTAGCACAACAGTTGTTTCCCATCAAAGAAGAGAAGCCCAAAGAAACACACACACACATTATTCATTCCTTAACTGGCTTTCTGAAAGTGCACAGATATTACAAATTTGTTTCTTTTATTTAGTCTTTAGATCAGCATATATGTGGCAATTACTTATTGATATACTGTATGTTTCCTGCAAGGCTTAATGATTTATCACAGTAAAAGGAAATAATTAGTACTGTTTATGAATTCAAAGGAGGCAAAAGATATTTAGGGAAAAACTATTGCTAGAACAGTTCAGTATGTACATGATATACTACATACTTTTGTCAAGATGAGTTCAGAGATGGAATATATGAAAAGCAATATATCAGAGTATGAGCATGATAAACAAATGTGTATAGCACATACAAGATAAGCAAAAGGTAATACATAATACAGGAATGCAATTAAAAAAATAAATACTAAGGAAGGTGAACAGAGATGTAGCATATGGCAAGAGGAATTAGATGTTCTAGTAATGACAATATATGGCATATCTAAGAGTTTAAGCAAGAGAAGGAAATGAAAATGTGCAATAATAATAAAAAAAAAGTGCCTGGGGAAAGAGAAGTGCCAAGTGATGGCAGCTACAATTTTGTGAACCAAGACCCCATCATGAGCAGTAATCCACCCCCCTTGAAGGGAGTTTGAATGAGAGGGGGCTGGCAAAAACTCTCACCTGGAACAGCAGCAGCAGTAGTAACAGGAGGAGTAGCAGTAGTAGTAGTAGCAACAGCAGCACTGCCACCACCACCAGCACCAACCACTTGCACAATGGCTACCTGCTGCTTGTCAACTGAGTAAACATGGGCAGTCTCCAACACTGGTGCTCCAGTATCTTCACCACTCTCATCACTAATACCACCTTCTTCACTTCTTGGTGTTGAAAACCCTCTGACTTCTGGCTCCACATCAATTACACCAGTTTCTGTGTGCCAAGGAATATTTATAATATCCATGTTGTTTAACCCCTTCAGGATCCAATGCCCAAATCTGAAGTGGTGTCCCAGTGTCCAAGAATTTAAAAAAAAAAAAATTTGTTATTTTTTCTTATGAAATGGTAGAGAATCTTTTTGTGAAGGTAATAAAACAAAAAGTACGAAATTTGATGGAAAACTGGCGAAATTATGCTCTCGCAAATTTTGATGTGTCAGCGATATTTACGAATCAGCAATTTTGCCGACTTTGACTCCCATTTTAGGCCAATTGCATTATTCCAGTCAACCAAATTCTTAGCTATTTCACTAGTATTACTTCTATTCTATCAACTGAGCACAAGAAATCGCCAAGTCAACTGTTTCAACTACAAATTAAAGTGATAGGAAATTGTTAATTTGGCCAATTTAACACAAAGTTCAAAATATTCCAATTTCAAAATAGGGTCCAGAATAAACAATGTAGGTATTCCTGGAACTAAACTAACATTTCCTCTGTTCATTAGTTATGTTTTGAGGCTTTACAAATAAATTCCATTTTGATTTTTTATTCACATAATGAATTTTTATTCACACCAAAAAATAGAAGATTTACTGTTATGCAATACTGTAATAATTGTATAAATATCATCAACATATTTGTGAATGCATATTAGACCCACCAGCTGGCGTGTATTAGACGTGTGAGGTCGTTTGTTTACTCTTGAATATCGGCAAAAATTTAACATTTCTGCTACTTTGAGCTCAGTTTCAAGCCATTTCCAGTGCTAAAACCAATCAAAATCATCTCTATTTCTGTAATATCTTCCATTCTATCAAATGAGACCAAGAAATCGCAAATACAACTATAAAAAACATAGGAAAAAACACTGCAAAGTCGCTGTTTTAATAAAAAATCATGATTTCAGTTTTTTTTCTCTCATTATACACAGTGTGCTGCAGGATCTGTTTTATGTGGTGCACACATACCACATAGATGTATTCTCTCATATCTAGGCCCAAATGACTCACTCACAGTTTATCAGAGTGAGCTGAGCTCATGACGTAGATCTACGGTTTGGACCCTCAACGTAAAGCCGTAGATCTACGGACGGACCCTGAAAGGGTTAAGGACATTTTCTGTCTAACATACCGGATGTCTCCCACCAAGGTAGGGTGACCCCAAAAAAGAGGTAACACGTTCACTGTCATTCATTCAACTGCTGTCTTGGCAGAATTGTGCTGACATCAGAGTTCAGATGCTCCTCCAATCTGCAGCATCTTCACCCCTCCTGACCAAATACAGCCTTTCCTCACTTAACGACGGAGTTCCATTCCTAAGACCATGCTGGTAAACGAATTCGCCACTAAGTGAGAACCATACTAAAACCGCAGTGGATTTGTGTCAACTATCTTTGATATTGTTTTAATGTCACCTTTGCACCATTTGTAACATTTCTGGTATACAGTGGATCCCCACAAATTCAAAGCTTCAGTAATTCACGGATTTTTCCTTAGAACCTAACTAATAATTGTTCATGGAAATACACCTACCATCCGACTTACGACCTGCTCGACTTACGACCACTCGACTTACGACCGTGTTTTTTATGCAAAATTTCTGGGAAATAAACAACTATTTGTGTTGTACACAGTGTTTATCCTAAACCTTACAGTATAAAATACAGTACTAACAGCATAAAAAGTAAAGTAAAACATGAAAATCCAAAATAAAACAATAAAATAAAGTCATTACAAAAATGTTTTGTTGATATTCAGTAGTAAAGTTCGACTTACGACCATTTCAACTTACGACCGGTTTCTCGGAACCGAACTCGGTCGTAAGTCGAATGGTAGGTGTATATAATTTTTTATACATTTTAATGCTAAATATTGAGAAAAACATAATTAAAATTCAGCAAAATTTCCATATAAATTTTTTCACCCTTAAACTGTCCAAACTTAAATCTACGTTTTTTCAACATTTGAAAGTACATACAGTGGTCCCTCAATAATCGTCTGGCCTGAAAGTCGTCCATTTCAGAAATAGTCCCGTTATTTTGTCTAAACATTGGCTCACAAATGGTCCATTAACTCGCTAATCGTCCTTCGTCCGGGACGCGTACGCACACTCTGAGCCGCCTGGGCCTGCCTTCCCAGCCAGCGTGCCATTGTTTACCAGTGAGCGACGGTCCCCTCACTTGCTCCTACGAAATATTTCATAATATTCCATTGATTTTAGTGCTTGCAAGTGCTAAATAAGTTACCATGGCTCCAAAGAAAGCTTCTAGTGCCAACCCTTTGGTAAAGAATGTGAGAAACACACATAATTTATGAAAAAGTTTGTAGAAAAATACAAAGGTGGTGGTGGTAGAGTGGAAGCAATTGTGATAGTGGCTGATGGTGGTAGTGATGGTGGTAGAAGGTAGTAGTGATGGTGGTAACAGTTGTAATAGTGGTAGAAGGTGGTAGTGATGGTGGTAGAGGGGTTCCTTCTTTAGTGATTCAGCAATTCTACCAACTCCTCCAATGTTGTTGGAGTTACATAGGGCTACAGAAAACACCGCCGCCTCAGCTGCTGCTTCACCACCATTATGGACAGCTTACTCTCAGTGGCCCTTATATACCCAACAACAACACAACACCTCTCGTGACATACGTAATGACTTATTTTATTCATTCTAGAGTATATTCCATGTTTCTGTGTTATTAATATTGTTTATTATGTCATATTAGTTGAATTGTGATAGATAAATAAGCCGTAGAGTTGATATTAGTGTCATATTCTCCAACAATAAACTTGCCATCCCTCCCTCACACAAACAAGTCTCCAATAAGAACATAAGAAAGGAGGAACACTGCAGTACGCCTGCTGGCCCATACTAGGCTGGTCCTTCACAAATCCAACCCACTAACAGAACAAATGCTACCCAAGCAATAAGCTCAGGTGCAAGTCCGACTCAAATCCAACCCCTCTCACTCGTGTATTTATCCAACCTAAATTTGAAACTACCCAAGCCATAGCTTTTAGAACATAAGAAAGGAGGAACACTGCAATAAGCCTGTTGGCCCATACTAGGCCAGTCCTTCACAAATCCAACCCACTAACAGAACAAATGCTACCCAAGCAATAAGCTCAGGTGCAAATCCGACTCAAATCCAACCCCTCTCACTCTATGTATTTATCCAACCTAAATTTGAAACTACTCAATGTTTTTGCTTCGATCACCCTACTAGGCAGACCATTTCACTCATCAACTACCCCTATTACCAATGTTCATTTATACATTTTATTAGTTCTTTACATTTATTTGGCATTTTTTTTCTGCATGTAAATCTATATTTATGCTAGGGAAGTGACCCCTGAAGTGACCTAGAGTCCTTATGGAGGGGGATTCCCCTTCCAAACAATAACCTCTCTTCCCTCTCTCCTCCCTGTCTTCCATTCATCAACAACAACCTTCAATAAAGGTAAATCCCTTTTTCTTTTTATTTCCTTTTTTATTAAAAAATTTAACCTTCCCCCCCAAAAACCCCCCTTTTTTTTTCACCCCCCCCCCCCCGCCTTTCTCCCCCCTTTTTGGGCATTTGGGTGGCTTTTTTTTTAAACAAAAATTCAAATTTCTCTTTTTTCCCCCTTTTTTTACTTCGGTTTTCCATTTTCTTTTTTTTTTTTTTTTTCCATTTTTAATTTTGTTTTTTACCTTTTTATTTTTGTCTTCCTTAAACCTTGCCCATTCCCCTAAAAAACCGTTTAAAAAAAACCCCCTTTAAAGGGAAAACTGGGTCCTTTCCCCCTTCCCCCTTTTCCCTCCAAACAACCCATCGCTTTTACCCAAAAAAACCGTTCGTTCCCTCCCTTCCCCCCTCCCTCGTTTTAATCCCCTTTTTGTTTCCCCGTTTTTTTTTCTTTCCCCCCCTCTCCCCTTTTTCCCCCCTTTTTCCCCCCTTTCCCCCCCCCCCCCCCCTTACCCCTCCCCTCCTTCCCCCTCCCCCCTCCCCCCCTCTTTTTTCCCCCCCTTTTTTCCCCCTCCCCCCCCTTTTTTTTTGGGTTCAAACCCCCCCAAATCAGAAATTACTTCACTACCTTCCATTTTTAAACTTTTAAAAAGCCCCAATTTTTGGCCATTTTTTTTCCGTTAAATCTAAAAAGGAAAAAAAACCCCTAATGACCAGGCCCCCTTTTTTTAATTTTTCCCTCCAAACCCCTTTCCTCCGGGCCTCCCTTCCCTGCTTCTTTAATCAAAAATTTTCAAAAAAAGGAAACGGCTTTTAAAAATTTAATGGGAAACATTTAAAAACTATCTTTTGGTAAAAAAAAAAATTGTTTTTTGATACCGGGGTGTCTGGAACGAAAAAATTTGGGATTTACATATTTCTTATGGGAAAACTGATTCGAAAATCATCTATTTCAAAATGCCCCCCACCCCGGAAACAGATTAAGGACAATAACTGAGGGACCACTGTATGAAAAAAAAAATTTTGACAATTTTTTTTTTAAATTTTTTGAAAATAGTAAAAAAAAAAGTAGATCTATTTTGGAGAACTACACTTTTGGAACAAACTGTTTGGACAGTTTAAAGGGGTAATTGTAGAGAGAACAAAAAGGACCTTTACGGGAAAAAAGCAGTTTTACCGTATTTTTACCAATGACACCAAAAAAAAAAAAGGGGGTTGCATGAATTACAGTATGCCAAAGAAAACAGCTTTCATAAATTTAAACGTACTATGGGGGTAACAAAAATATTTTTCATTCTACACTGCAAAGACATAGCGTACAGAAAGAATAGGGTTTATTTTTACATTTTTTTTTCAGGTTGAGTATGAAGCTGATTTAAAATTAAATTAAAATGTTTTTTTGGGCATATTTAGATTTTAAACTATAAAAATAGGCATTTAAGCATTTTTTAACTGCGTCCAAAATTTACGGTTTTTCCCCAAAATTCGTGAGGATCTTGGAACATAACCCCCCCCCCCCGAAATTTTTGGGGGGGACTATTGCATTTTTAAATTTTTAACAGTAGTGTACTGAAAATTTGGCAATAAACAAAAAGAAAAAACAGCTCTAAATACATTATTAGGTCCAACTAACTAGTTAGAGACCCTTCGAAAGTCCAAGTCGTTGGTAAACAAATACATCGCAAATGGGGAGAGGCGAAATTACTTTTATCTCTGTAGAAAAAAAAATCACGCCAAACAAAGGGAGCAGGGTTAAGCACCAGATTTTGATGAATTACTTTATATTTTTCCGAAGTAAAAAAAAAAAGTCAAGAGATATTCAGCATTTCACATAAACCCCAAAATTTTATATGCATAACTGATATCACTTTGTACAGAATTTTCATTTTAATAATGCCACCACAATGGGAAAATTTCCAGTGTTTACTAACACCTGATGCTGCAGGCTGTGTCTGCCAAAATACCAAGCTGACAACACAAGCCCGTGGCACCACGTGGACTTCAGGAATAGTGGCTTTGGTGGTCTGGGATATTTTGGCTGCATCAGCTTGCTTCTCGGGCAATGCTGGTTTGTCTGGTCTTTGAAAAAACAACAGTAATTTTATTTATAAATTAATGAAAGAAAAAAATAAAAAAATCCCAATTTCATCATGATTTCAACAAACCCCTTTTATGTGGATTCCCTTCACAAGGTTTTTTCAAATGCATTATAAAATTGATGAATTGGCAACATATCTTTTAAGGGAAAAGCAGATTTAGCTCGAACTGTCAGCTAGATTTAGGACAATAATAAAAATAAAAAAAAAAAAAACTTTAAAAACTTCTTTAAATCCAGCAAATGGAGTGACACCATCACCATCCACATCACTGCATAAATTTTATCTTCATGAACAACATCACAACTTTTGGGATGTCCCCAAGCCCCTTTTGGCGGGGTTTACATACCTCGGGGATTTTGCCCCACCAAAGTAAACCTCCCAAAGAACTACTGTCACACCCTGGTCTTAGGTCAGAAATATATATATAAAAAAACCCCAAAAATTCGAAACAACGCTAACAAATCAAAAGGGAAAAAAAAATTTTACTACTAGCAAAAAACAGTCTTTGGAAAAACCCCCTGGTTTTGCCTATTATAACCACACAAAATGACTTTGTAATGCTGTGTGCTAAATCATAAATTTGTAAACTCTTTAAATTTTATTCTGAATTCAATACATAGTTCACCCAGTGTAACTTTCTTACATGTTGAGCCCAGACCCGGGGGCCCCTTACATACCCCTGTAATACCCTGATTGCACCATCTTAAATCAAACTATCATCTATGCCACAACTTTCTTTAAAAACATACAAAAATCAGGCTAAACAATAAAGCCCGCTTCATTTTTTTTTTTAAAACGCAATTGCAATTATTACTCCCCCACCAAAGGGGTAAAACATCACCCAAATTTTAAAGAAGTTTTAAAACTTAAAGGGGGTTTCATAAACCAGCAATTTACCAAAGGGTATAAATTCTGTTACAGCTAAGCTGGGAAAAGAATTCAAATTCAATTAAAAATTTTGTTGTACCTCTAAATCCACTGTCAATTTTTTTAAGGGTATATTTGGTTTTAGCAAAAACAGCAGGGCCCCCTTTCGGCGTTTCCTTTACGGCATTCCGCTAATACGGGCATTTCAAATTATGACCAAAAATCCTTACATCCCCCCCCCCTGACTTTCTAAAACGGGCACCGCCCCCACCCTGTTTTTTTTCCATTCTTCGTGAGCTCATAAGCCTAATCCTTCCTTTTGTCTGGAAATTCCAAAAAATTTCAAAGTTTTTAAAAGTTATTTCATATTTTATATAACTCTGATAATTTTTACTTATGTATACCTGTACTTTAAAAAAACTACATACTGTCGGCATGCAGACACATTTTAAAACAGTAAAATGTCTTAGTCTCCAGAGTCATATTAGTAAGAGATAATAATCATCGAGTCTCATTTTAAATGTCGATATTACTTAAAACACATTTTTATTAATCCTCTATATATTTTTTCAAAATTTTTAATAATAAACATATACATAACATAAAAAGATGATAAATACACCCCACAAAGAATAAAAAGATAAATATAGATTTTTAGCCAAATAACTTTTACAAGTGACCCAAAATAACATTTTTTTCTAATCAACTAAAAAAATGTGTTACTGGGGGGAAACTGTGAAAATTATTCCTTTCGTATGAAGTAATTTATTCAGGTATACCAAATCGTTTCATAATTATCATACTAAATAAAGTGTAAAAACCAGGGTAACCCAAAAAAGTCAAGTGCTTATTTTCCTTGCCCTTACTCAAGCATCATTTTTCTCCCAAAAAGATTTACATGAGAATGGGGAAAGTTTTTCTTTATTTTTTCACCGATCAATTTTGAACAACCTTTACACAAGAACTTTACACAACCAGACGGAAAACTTTGTTTACAAAAATTTCCCTTTGCCTGTTTTTTTTACATAACTCTGCCCGTACTTCTCATTTCCATTCTTTCTCTCTCTTTTATTTGTTTTTTTCTCATTTACTTACTCCCACCCTAATTAAACTAATAAAAATTTTAAGGTAAGTAAGAGTGAACTGTAATACATTTTTTCGCTCCTGGATGCTTAAATGTAATAGAAATTATGTGTAGGGGGGTTGGGCCCGGTATGGTACCCCTGACTACCAACGTTATACCACGCTTTATTTTTTTCAATAAATACACTCATCTCACCCATATTTAAAAGGGAAGTAAGAGTGAACGTAATCATTTTTTTCGCTCTGGGACTTAAATACAAGAAAATTGTATGGTGGGGGGGTGGCCTGGTAGGAGCCGGCTGCTACCCTACATCCACCCCTTGATTTCTTCAATAAAACTAAATTTTCTCACCCCAGATTAAAACTAAAAATATTTTAAGGGGAAGTAAAATGCACATGGTGTGTTTTACTTTTTTTTGTTTTTTGATGCCTGGTTTATTGCAAAATTAAATATGTTAGGTAAAACTTGTTTTCTAAGTTTGTATGCATTTGTAAGTGGAAAAAAAGGGGGTTTCCCCCTTTACGGCGGTAGCCTGGAACCCAACCCCTATAAGTGGGGCCCTATGGGACAAGGGAAAAAATTTTAGTGCCAGGATCAACAAAAAAGAGATAACGGGAAAATGTGCACCCAATTAGACTTTTTAAATATCATAAAAATCTTCAACAATAAAGTGGGGTAAAGACAAAGGCAAAGACCCCTACTGGGGGCAAAAAATACAATAAGGAAAATTCATGCTTTTAATAAGGTGAAACCCAAAAAAAATGTTAGGGAAATGGAAAAAAATCAACATTTACTATTTTTGTGGGAAAAATTTTGCCCCAGGTAATGACCTGACAAAGCTCCGGAGAGTGAAAAAACTCCCCAACAGACTGTCACATTTCTGCATGTTTTCATTTACCTACAATTCATGCCACTGGTTTAGCACTAAGGCCCAAACTCACTCCCTGCACCATATATAACATCCCTACAATACACACAGCTGCTCTCATTGAGGTAGGGTAACCCCAAAAAAGAGGTAACACATTTTCTGTCATTAATTTTATCCATTCCTATTTTGTTTTCATTACTGTATACACTCCCTCTTCCTCAAACTCCACACCAAAATTTTTTCTAACCATTTTCTTTCAAAACAACATCGGTTACAATAATTTTATCTTCTTTAACTGAATATACACTCAAACCAAATCACTTTTCAGCATTTTCTTTTGGCCATCTAAAAGAACACTTCACTACAAGATTTACTCTGAACATCCATTAACATGTACAGTTCAGACAGATCCCATTTGGCAGCGCTTAGCTTTACAACATTTCATTAATACAGCGGTTTTCAAATATACCCATTCTTAATTTATTCTGACTTCCTACAATAAATATATTCACTACTCACTATAAGCTAAGGACAAAAATATTTTAAGGTAAGTAATGTGTGAATTATATATGCATTTTTAAAGCCTAGTTATACTGCTCAGTAACACGGAACCTAACTTGCTGTATAAGCAGGGATCTCCTGTACATACACCCTTGTGCATACACTGTTTACCTTCACAAATAACCTGCACACAGGAAAAACTTACGAGGATGATTTGGTCTGACTTGGATCGTTAGTCACACACATCACCACAAGTTTCTTTCTCTTATGTGCAAGTTATTTGTGTATTGTTCCAGCCACATTATTGTGCCTTTTTATTCTGTTTAATTTCCTTTCTTATAACTTAATTTTTTTGTTATCCTCTTTCCTCTCAGTTGTTAACTGCACCATCCAGTCTTCAATTATCATCCTTACCCTTAGACTGTGTTGTTAAACCCATTAAATAAACATTACTCTCTCTTCCATCAACAATCTTCTCCCTTTGCACACATCATTTATTTCCTTTACAATTCATGGAGACAACCTGATAAAAACTGTGTTAAGTAGGAAATATTCTCAGGTGCTACTGAAATAAAGGCAATAAACAACACTTAGCAAATCAAAGACACATGGACAAAGCAAACCTCCATTAATAATTTATGTATTTTAGCTAAAAAATGTCAGAAAATGTTTCAAACTCGGTGGCACTTGATGTATGCACAAGGCTTATTCCTCTAAGAAAAAGGAGGAGTAGATGTAAAATAGAAAGAGACAGGCGCTCCCTTTACAGGCGACGGAAAAGAATAACAGAGCGGCTAAAAGAGGCCAATATATCTGAAATGCGTAGGGAGTCACTGGTCAGAGAAATACCAAACATCGAACTTAAGCTAAAGGAATCTTATAGGAGTCAAGAATCGCGGGAAGAACTAAAAGCCATAAATGAAATCAAAAGAAACCCAAAGTATTTCTTTTCCTATGCCAAATCAAAGTCGAGAACAACGTCCAGTATTAGGCCCCTACTTAAACAAGATGGGTCCTACACAGATGACAGCAAGGAAATGAGAGAGCTACTCAAGTCCCAATATGACTCAGTTTTTAGCAAGCCGCTAACCAGACTGAGAATCGAAGATGAAAAAGAATTTTTTATGAGAAAGCAACAGAATTTGGTTAACACAAGCCTATCTGATGTTATACTGATGCCAAATGACTTCGAACAGGCGATAAATGACATGCCCATGCACTCTGCCCCAGGGCCAGACTCATGGAACTCAGTGTTCATCAAGAACTGCAAGAAGCCCCTATCACGAGCTTTTACCATCCTATGGAGAAGGAGCATGGACATGGGGGTCGTCCCACAGTTACTAAAAGCAACAGACATAGCCCCACTCCAAAGAGTGGGGGTCCTAAGAAGCAAGATCGCCACCCATCTAGAAACCCGTCAATTACACAGCCCAGGGCAACATGGGTTTAGAACAGGTCGCTCATGTCTGTCTCAACTATTGGATCATTACGACAAGGTCCTAGATGCACTAGAAGACAAAAAGAATGCAGATGTAA